GGAACTAGATCCCATACGTCATTTCTTGTGAATTGATTCAGCTCCTCTTGCATTGCTAGAATCCAATCATTGTCTAGAAGTGCTTCATCAACTGAAGATGGTTCAATCAGAGAGACAAGTCCCATGAGGGATTCTTCATAGTTTCTGAAGCTGGCTCTTGTTCTGATTGGATCTTCCTTTCTTCCTAAGATTGTTTCTTCTGGGTGATCCATGCTGCTTCTGGATGGTCTTTTCTGAGGTTGATCAACAGAAGGTGTTGGATTGCTTGCAGTGCCTCTTTCTGATGTTGAGGGAGTGTCTCTGTTAAGAGCTTCTGATGACTTGTCTTCAGTACCTGTGAATTCAACTTCCATACCTGCAAGTAATTCATTCTGCTTTGACTTTGGAGAGTCAAGCTTATCGTCAAAACGAACACTGATTGATTCTTCAACAATCTGTGTTTCTATATTGTATACTTTGTACCCTCTTGAGCGTTCAGAGTATCCTAACATAATACACTTTTGTGCTTTAGAGTCAAACTTGTTCAAATAATTTTTAGTATTCAAAATAAAGCAAGTACATCCAAATGGATGAAAATAAGAAATGTTGGGCTTTCTGTTCTTCCACAATTCATATGGAGTCTTTTCCAGAATAGGTCTTATAGAGATTCTATTCTGAATGTAGCACGTTGTGTTTATTGCCTCTGCACAGAAGATCTTAGCAACGTTAGTCTCGTTGATCATGGTTCTGGCCATTTCTTGCAATGTTCTGTTCTTTCGTTCTACAACTCCATTTTGCTGGGGAGTTCTAGGATAAGAGAAATCATGCAGAATGCCTTTGTCATTAAAAAATGATTCAAAATCTTTGTTTTCAAACTCTCCACCATGATCACTTCTGACTTTGACGATTCTAAGATCCTTTTCATTCTGAACTTGGTTGCAGAAGGTGACAAACACAGAGTGTGACTCGTCCTTGTGTCTTAAGAACTTTACCCATGTCCATCTGCTATAGTCATCTACGATTACTAACCCATACTTCTTGCCACTGACTGAAGCAGTTTTAACTGGTCCAAATAAGTCAATGTGCAGAAGTTCTAATGGTTTATAGGTGGAAACAACGTTTTTATATTTGAAAGCTGGTTTTGCAAACTTTCCTTTCTGACATGCTTCACACAGAGCATCTGAATTGAACTTCAGGTTAGGAAGTCCTCTGACCAGATTGAGTTTGTTAATCTGAGATATTCTTCTCATACTAACATGCCCCAATCTTCTGTGCCAGATCCATTGCTCGTTGTTAACAGACATAATACACTTTACATTCTGACTTTTCAGTTCAGAAAGTTTGATTTTATAAATGTTGTTTCTCCTCTTTCCATTAAATAGGGTAGTCCCATCTTTCTGACTAACCGCTTTGCATGAATTTTGATTAAAGATTATATCATAACCGTTATCACTTAATTGACTTATGGATAACAGGTTATGCATTAATCCATCTACTAATAAAACATTACTTATAGAGGGAATATTTCTGTTACCTACTGTTCCAGAGCCAATGATCTTTCCCCTTTGATTGCCTCCAAAGCCTACGTGGCCTCCAGGCTTAAGTTCCAGGCTTTGGAACATATGCCTTCTTCCCGTCATGTGTCGTGAGCAGCCAGAGTCCAGGTACCATGACTGGTGTTTCTGCTTTGCTGCTAAAGATATCTGCAACATGTATTATTTTATCCTTAGGTACCCATATTTTCTTGGGTCCTGATTTATTAGTTTTACCAAAACTCTGGTTGAATTTTGGTTTGACAGAATAATTACTACTAGTATATTTGATGTCATGTGTGTGCCCATATACAAAGTGAGAATCAAGTGAAGTGAGTTTTATCACTAAATCCATGGCATTCCTTGGTGTAGGTACCTTACCTTGGTATCCTATTCCTTTTCTGCCATTTCTGCTAACTCCATAGATCATTGAAGCCATCTTGCTTCTATCTATGTTTTTAGCTAGAAACTTCTGAAAGCTGTGATCATACTCCTTGATGATCTCATCAACACTGCTGGGAGTTTCAGGGATTGTTTCCTTCTGAGAGTTTTATAATAGATTTTCTAATTTTGAAATTTTATTTTTCAACTCAGAATTCTCCAATTTGAGACTCTCAGTTTTATCAGAGTCAGAAGCAAGATTCCTTTTCAGGTTTCTGAATTTGACTCTGATCTGCTGATATCTTTCCAGAATTTTATTAAGGCTTTCAGCTAGTTCAGCCTTAGTAAAGTTAATAGCAAAGTCAGGAAATACCTATTCTGTGTCTGATTCAGAGTCTGATTCAGAAGCTTCACTGTCTTCTGTTATGTTTGCCATGAGAGTTATGTTTGCTCTCTCATCATCTGATTCTGAGTCAGCTTCAGATGTGTCAGAGTCATCCCATGTATCCATGAGACTTTTCTTCTTTTCCTTGCCAAACTTCTTTTTGGGATTTTCCCTCTGAAGCTTTGGGCAATCACTCTTGTAGTGTCCTTGCTCGTTACATTAATAGCAGATGATGTCTTTGTTGTTTGGCTTTCTGCTTCCTGAAGAGCCTTCAGATCTTCTGTGTCCATAGGAGGATTCTGACCTTCTGTATTTGGAGGAGGATTCATTTTGATTCTCTGATCTTCTTGGATTCCTGAACTTTCTTTGCCTCTGCTTCCACAGTTGGTTCACCCTTCTGGAGAGGAGAGACAGTTCATCTTCTTCTGATGAGGACCCATCAGAGGTTTCTTCTACAGCCTGCAAAACTTTGGAGTCAGATTTTCTGTTAGATTTTAAAGCTAATGGCTTACCTTGCTTTTAAGGTTCATCAGCTTCTAGCTCTATCTCGTGACTTCTGAGGGAGCTGACAAGTTCCTCCAGAGAGATTTTGTTGAGATCCTTAGCTAGCTTCAGCGCTGTGACCATTGGCCTCCACTGTTTTGGCAAGCTTCTGATGATCTTCTTAACATGATCAACAGTGGAATACCCTTTGTCCAGAACTTTGAGACCAGCAACCAGAATTTGAAATCTTGAGAACATCGTTTCAATAGATTCACTTTCTTCCATCTTGAATGCCCCATACTTCTGAATGAGCGCAAGAGCTTTAGTTTCTTTAACTTGAATGTTGCCTTCATGCGTCATTCTCAGAGAGTCAAACATATTCTTTGCAGTGTCTCTGTTTGATATCTTTTCATATTCAGAGTAAGAGATGGCGCTGAGAAGAATTGTTCTTGCTTTGTGATGATTTCTGAAATCACGCTTTTGTTGACCAGACATTGCTTTCCTGTCAATCTTCTGACCACTTGCATTCACTGGGTGCGTGTATCCATCAGTCACCATATCCCACAGATCAGCATCGTGGGCCAGAAAGAAGCTTTCAATTCTGTCTTTCCAGTAATCAAAGTTCTCTCCATCAAAGACTGGAGGTTTGCCACTGAATCTGTCTCTTTCTTCATTGTTGTCATTGCTGATGTTTTGATGTGGTCCTGCCATAGTGTTTTTCTAACGCTGGATCTTGTACTGACACGGTTAAGTGTTATAAGCTCAGAACTAGGCGCTCTGATGCCAATTAAAGATGTGAAAAACACAAGAAGGGGGGTTGAATTGTAAAACTTGAAATCAAATGCAGACAACACGTTATTTTTATCCTGATTTGTTTGATCTCAAACTACTCCAGTCCACCCGTCAAGGTGATTTCGCATCTCTCCAACGAGGTCTTAATCCACTATATTCAATTGAATACACAACTGCTTTAACAACTGTTAAAGCCTTCTTGAGTCTAACCACATACCGGTTTATCTCAAGGAAATTCTTTTACAGATAAATGAACAAATGTGTGTTTGATGTTTTCTAAAAAAACTATATATCACAATTGTGATAATACACAATATGAAGCTTAGATGAAACTAGACTGCTAATGCTATTGAGTAGGCGTGGTTGAAAGCTTTAGCAATTTGAGTGAGAGAGTTTTCGTATGCGTGCGTGCGTAAAGAGTATTAGCCAATTCTTTTCTCACTGACTTGTTTAAATAGCCTAGGAATAGATACGTTGCTGTCCATAAATCCATTTCAATGCTCATAACGTTCTTTCCTTTTTGAGAAGATCTTTGTCTTGGAATAAAGCCGTTGGTAATAAATCTGTCTTGAATGCATAGTAACGTTGACACTTCAGAGTGTTCTGCTAATGATGATCAGAGTGTTCTTGGCTTTAGCTTATTCTGGCGTTTCTGGGTGCTGATGACATGGTTAGGATCTTGATCAGAGTCAAAGTATGTTTTGCGCAGATTCTGTTCATCAGGCTTCAGCGTAGCACATGTTTGATCTTCTGATGTGACATATCTTCTGATGCTGATGTTGATATTCTGATGCTGATTCCATCAGAGTTTTTGTAAATACAAAATATAATTTTAAGTAGCATATATGTCTTATAAATCTTACAATTTATTTAATCTTGTATTTTGTTATCATCAAAACTCTAACTGAGGGTTGTAGAATCAAACTATGTTCTAATAAAATCTATCAACAGTCTTGATACATAAAATAAACAAATTAAAAAACAAAAATAAATCGATGTAGTTACTTCAAATACAATGTTTGAGGATAATTCAAATAAAAATAATCTACTTTGTCTCTGTTACAGATGCAAAATGAAGAAGATAAATAAATAAATTAGCACTAAAAACCATTCATCTGGTGCGAATGAAACATCAACTACCATCTATCCAAATGAAAGGAAAAATAGAAATTACAAAAGAATAAAAGATACAACTAAATTGTACCCAAAAAAAAAGGATGGAACTAAGATAGAATCACATATATATTAACACTATATCAAAACGAGTATGATATAACATTATATATATATCAACTTAATCCTACCATTGCAATTTTTTCTACCCCGCCCCCAATTTCCAATACGGGTTACATATCTACAATATGAGTCCTGACCCGAAACCCGTATTCGAATAAAAAACCCGAATTTAAAAAAAAAAGTTAAATTCTTTTTTTTATTTTCTTCATTCTTCAGAGTTTCTCTGCGATCTGAGCCAACGACTGCAAATTACATCGTACAATCGTATCAACAAAACTACACGTCTCTTCCTTCGTGTTCCCATGCGGTACATCAACCACATACGATTCAATAACCACCGTCCCTCCATTCCCGTCGCCGTGCAGCGTCGTCACCGACCGGTAATTCCTCAGCCTATGAATTCCACCAACAACACTGAAACTGATAACATGCCGTTCTTCATCAAGTATATCAAGCCTCTCGGTGCTCGAAACCGCCGGAAGACCAGAAACCAGCCGAACCTCGCGTAAAGCGCCGACGCGAATGCCGTCGCCGGCGACCACGTTACAGCTTTTCACGAAGTTCTTGTATCCTTGCGGATTGTCGAATCGTCGAACGACGGACCAGACGGTTGAAACCAAGGCGTTGATCGGTTGTATCACGACGGAGTAGCACTGGTTCGGTCCCACCACGTGCGCGTCGTGGTGGTTTGTAACCGTTTCTGGTACCGTTACGTAACTACCTTGTTTCGGACCGTTAGCAATGGCATTAACGGTGACCATTTCAGTGTTGTATCTTTGATACTGAACAGGTGAAGGCATTTTTTATGTTGATAATAAAAAGTATAAATTAGTATTAATAAAAGAAAGAACTGTGTTTCTTTCTTGAGGATTAGTTTTTATGAAGGTAAAGTGATGGATTGGATATATATGTAAAAAAAGGTGTGAGAAAATGTGAGAGGCTATTATTAATTTTGTATAGACAAGTTGTATACAAGAGTTCTTTTTCTTTTTCTCTTCTTTGATGTTGTTCAAAGAGACATAGAAAGAAAGATAATAAAAGTGAATTCATAATTGCAACTTATTGAATTAATTGAAGCAATGACATTACGCGGTGGTTGCATGCAAGTGGATACACAACTTGTTGTAAGGAATGCAACTTGCAAAATCTTTAGACTTGGAATTATCAATTTCATTTAATTTTTTTTTTTTTTTAATTTCATTTTTTAATATTTAATTGCAACTTTGCTTTATTTTATGTTTTAATTATTAATATGTTATTGTTCACTTGTTGATGAATGTTTTTTTATTCGACCAACTTCACCTTCTAGTAGTACCAGTCGTTGCTATGTTTCATGTTGTTGTTTAATTTATTAGTTTTTGTGATTTTATATAAAAGTGATTGCATGAATTGGGAGGGTATCTTTGGAAATGGATAATGTTTGGAAAAACAGTCTCGAAGAAAGTCCGGCGTGTTGGCAAGTTGCTTGCGATATTGTATTCATCAAGTGGTGGAGGTGGTACACATATTTTAAAATGTATAAGGAATATGATTAAAAAAGTTTGGATGCTTTTTGTCGTGTTTATTTTTGAGGGAAAAAAACTACTTGCGTTTGATTATTATATAATTTATAATTGTAAAGATGTTTAAGAAATTATTGGATAACACCATCTAACAATATCCACAATGAAACGCCTTAATTTGGTATTTCAATAGATTTCGTAAATAAATAATAATTTTATAGAACTAAGTTGGACAAATAAATGTTTAGCCAGATAATACTTCGACTTAAGATTATCATGTTTGAGTCGGGTTGTATAATCGGAGATATATGTGATCGATTACCGAGAAAGATGAAAAGATGTCAGTCGAGTTTATTTTTAAATTCAGAGGTTACATAGAGCCCGACCTTGACGAGGTCGTTATAGATTGATCGCCCCATTAAGGATGTAATCGCTCATCAATACATGGTGGCGCACATTATGATAACAACCATCATTGGCAACGACAGACGTTTCTTGCCTTAAATGACAACTCAGTTACGTATGATGAAGAATCACAACAGTTACATGCAGTGATCAATGAGGTCCACATACCTCTATATATAGACCTCTCGATTGAGGGGTAAGCAAGACAATGTCGCTTGGAGCTCACACATACTTATGTGACCCTCTGAATCCCTTAATATCATAATCAATTCACTCCCACTTGTTTGAGGCTCTCCCCGATACCCTTCAACTAGCGGTGAAGTCACCCATTAGTGTTTAGCAAGAATATTTGACGTCCACCGTGGGGTCTGGTAAAACTTTCCCAAGCCGCATTATCCAAACACCTTTGAGCAATGTCTTCTGATGAGGATCCCCCTCCAGGCATGGCACATTTATTGGCCATGATCGAGGATCTTCTCCAGCAGAACGATACGCTGCAAGACAGCGTCCAGATCCTACAGATGAAGAGCCAGGATGATGGCGACCATGGGCTTGAGCTTTTGGAGCCTCAACCATTATCCCAGGCTATCTAGGACGATCAGGTTCTAGATGATTTCAAACCTCGGACATTTATAATATACGACGATAAATCTGATCTCCATGAACACATAATCACTGTTAATAATATGATGGCAACAATTGGGGCTAATGATTCGCTGAAGTGTAAGCTTATGGACGACACCTTCAAGGAATCGGTCCCGAGGTGGTACATGAGTCTTCCCAGGTACTCTGTTATCATCTACCAGGACTTCACCAAGAAGATGGTTCAGCAGTTCTCGGCAAGCCAGCACCGAAAGGTGTCGACAACAATGTTGTCTAATGTTCGTCAACTCCAGTCAGAATCCCTGAGGGATTACATGGCCCAGTTCAACGAGGAAACCATAAAGGTATCTCATCCTAATCAAGAGATATTTGTGGCAGCTTTCCAGCACGGTCTCCAGGATGGCCAATTCAATGAGTCACTGGCCCAGAAATAGGCTGCCAGCATGGATGAGATAATCACTCTGGTCGAGTGCTATGTAAAAGGATAAGAGAGTAACATGGAAAAGATAATTAAGAGACGCTAGAGAAAAAGGAAGGGCCCGAGAAGAAGCTTTCGGGCAGAGAAGGAGCATACCAGGTCCCGTGATTGACCACCACCTAGGGAGTGGCCTCCTCATCGGCCATCCCGACGACCTTTGGTTTCGGATGAAGACCCCACTCCTCTAAATGCCAGAAGAGTGGACATCTGAAGAGATGTAAATCACCTTAACTTCCTTCCTAGACCTTGGCGTCCTCATGGAGTAAACACGGTTTTAGGGGATGACGTCGAGGCTTGGTGTGTATATCACCAGATCCGGGGACACCACACCGAGGACTGCCATCAGCTGAAAAAGGAAATTGAGAAACTAATCCAAAGGGGCAAGTTGTTGTCTTATGTCAAAGGTAATGCCGAGAAGACCGGAAAACGAAGCCCTCCCAGGAGGGATGAAAACTTGGAATGCCCTTCCAAGAAGAAAGGAAAAGAAATAGATGAAGTTCGAGAAGCGCAACTGACCCAGCACACACTCAATACCATCTCTGGAGGATTTGCTAGAGGAGGCTCCACCATCTCGACATGAAAGAGATATGCCCCGAATGTAATGCAAGTGGCTCAGGTGGAATGGACAGACAAAAACGGAGATCTTGGGGTTGTCAATTTATCTTGAGAGGACGCTGAAGGAGTCCTGCCACACAAAAATGACACCGTGGTCATTAAAGTTCAGATCAGGGATTGGAGTGTTAAGCAAGTGCTAGTCGATCCTGGAAGCTCAGATGACGTGATGCACTGGGAAGCCTTCAAAGGAATAGACTTTGACTCAAAAGAGTTGCTACCATTCAATGGGAACTTAGTCGGATTTTCCGGAGAGCAAGTTCAGGTACTCGAGCACCTTCGAGTTCTAACTATATTCGGAAGGAAGAAGAACACCAAAGTAGTTAGAGTACAGTAATTCATTGTCAATGCAACGTCTCCCTACAACATCATACTCAAGAGACCATCATTCAATGCACTAGAGGCGGTGTTGTCAACTCTGTACCTCACTATGAAGTACCCTCTCAGCAAGGGCCGGATAGGAATGGTATGTAGAGACCAAGGTCTGGCACGTAAATGTTATAAGGACAATATGAAACTGAAAAGGAAGACTACAATTATAAAAGATGTAGACAGTCACAAAGTCAATATGGTTGATATTGATCCTCGGGAAGATCACGGAGAGGATAGCCTAGCTCATCGAGAAGAAACTAAAGAGGTCCAGATTGGTCCTCAATCCTCGGAGATTACTCATCTGGGAACCAATCTATCACCAGAGGAGAAGGTTGAAATTGTTGATATTCTGAAGAGAAACATTGTTTTGTTTGCATGGAAGCCATCTGACATGCCTGGTGTAACACCCTGGTTTAATTAGAATTATTTTTAATTAAATAATAAGACGATGCGGTGAAAATATGTGAGTCGATGGATTTTATGATGTGGTGTGATACCTTGTTGGAGACTAGATGCCTTAGAATTATAGGAATTGAGGTTATGGGGGTATTTGGCTAATTGTGTAGAAACATAGGGGTGTGTAAAATAATATGGATTATTACTATTATTATATTATTAGGATAATTATTTATTTGGGATAGTTACTATTATTATTATTATTATTAGATTATAAGAAGTGAGATTGGGAGAATAAGTCAGTACGTGAAATAGAACAGAAGAAGCGTAGAAGAGAGAAGAGAAGAAAGAGCACTAGGAAGTTAGGGACATGATTTCACTGTAGAAATTAAGAATCAACCAAGAACCTAAGGTAAGGGGAATTCTAAATCTATAAGGGTTTGCCTAATTATGGGGTATGGTAGAATTTAGGTTGTATAATCGTATGTTTTAATTTCTCCATATTTGGTTGTTTTTGGGGTTTGTTCCTGTTGATGGATTTTTGGTGATTTTGGTGTGTCTTGATGTGATTGAACGATATGAATTGGTTAGAATTAGTAGATGAATGTTGATGAATAATTAAACTATTAAAAAGATGAATTTTGATGTGAAAATTATGAATTTTGGGTGTTGAAATATGGAAGGTCGTAACCTGGAAATTATAGAATTGCCACTGTTATCGTAGGATAACGGGTTACCCGAATATGGTAACCGATTACCATATCAATGGTTGGAACGAGGTTTAGCTACCATCATGCGGTAACCGGTTACCATAAGTGGGTAACTGGTTACCGTGATGAATTTTGAAAAGCAACGAGGCTACTATCCGGCGGTAACTTGGTAACCGATTACCACTGCTACTGACAACATTTTTTAGAAAACTTCTAAAACCCATAACTTTTGCCTCGGGTGTCCGTTTGACACGTCGTTTGGACCGTCAAAAAGATAAAATAATTTCCTATTCTATAAAAGTGATTTATAATGAAGTAGTTAATTTTTTCATCAATATTTCTACCGATTCGTAAGTATGTTATGATTTGTATGCCATGAATTATGTTGTGGTTATTACGACGATTGTTTTGATGGTGCGATACGAGATACATGACACAGGCAATGACGAAGGCCTGTATTGGTGAAATTATGATGAGTATTAACAATAAATGCGACGTATATTGTTTCATAATAGTGTCTCATGCATTCATAAAGCGAAGGCTTGTATTGGCGAGCGAAGTTGATTGTCCTAAATTTGCATTATTGTGAAGAGGGTTCTACCCTGATTGGTACCACATGCATTGCATCAGTGTCAATCCTTTGCATCATATTGTGATTGATGAACTGATGAGCGAAGATTGATGAAAATGTGTATTATATTATGATGTATGTTACTGTTTCC